TACAGTGACTTTGTGTATTCCTTCCATCTTCTATTGATGTTTCCTGCATCATTCAATATTTTGCCCATAGAATCTTTCAATATTGCAACTCAAGGCTTAAATTTCCTCTTCAGTTCTTTCAGCTTGAGAAATGCTGAGTGTGTTCTTCCCTTTTGGCTTTCCAACTCCATGTCTTTGCACCTTTCATTATAATAATTGATTTTGTCTTCTCAAGTTGCTCTTTGAAATCTTCTGTTTAGCTCTTTCATCTTGTCATTTCTTCTCTTTGCTTTAGCTACTCTTCGTTCAAGGGCAAGTTTCATTGTCTCTTTTGACATCCATTTTGGTCTTTTCTTCCTTTCTTGTCTTTTTAATGACCTTTTGCTTTCTTCATGGATGATTTTCTTGATGTCATCCCACAATTCCTCTGGTTTTCAGTCACTGGTGTTCAATGCATCAAACTATTCTTCAGATGATCTCCAAATTCAGGAGGGATATAACCAAAATCATATTTTGGCTCTTGTGGACTTGTTTTAATTGTCTTCAACTTCACATTGAACTTGCAAATGAGCAGTTGATGGCCTGTTCCACAATCAGTTCCTGGCCTGGTTTTGGCTGAAGATATTGAGCTTCTCCATCGCCTCTTGCCACAGATATAGTCAATCTGATTGCTGTGTACTCCATCTGGCAAAGTCCACGTGTATAGCCGCTGTTTGTGTTGTTGAAAAAAGGTATTTGCAATGAATAAGTCATTGGTCTTGCAAATTTCTATCATGTGATCTCCAGCATTATTTCTATCTCCAAGGCCAAAGTTTCCAACTACCAGTGATTCTTCTTTGTTTCCAACTTTTGCATTCCAGTCACCAGTGATAATCAGCACATCTTGATTGCATGTTTGGTCAATTTCAGACTGCAGAAGTTGGTAAAAATCTTCCGTTTCCTCATTTTTGGCTTTGGTGGTTAGTACATAAATTTGAATAACAGTAGTATTAATTGGCTTTCCTTGTAGGCACATGGATATTATCCTATCACTGACAGCACTGTACTTCAGGATACATCTGGAAACATTCTTCGTGACAATAAATGCCACACCATTCCTCTTCCATTTGTTATTTCCAGCACAGATGATCATATGGTTATCTGATTGAAAATGGCCAAAACTGGTCCATTTCAGCTCACTAATGTGTAGGATATCAATATCAATCTTTATGCATTCCATTTCATTTTTTGACAACTGCCAATTTTCCTAGATTCATATTTTGTACATTCCATGTTCTTATTATCAATGGATATTTGCAGCTGTTTCTTTTCATATTAAGTCATGCTACTTCAGCAAATGGAGGCCCCAAAAGCTACTCTATCCATATCCTTAAGGTAGGCTCTACTCTGATGAGGCAGCTCTTCCCTAGTCATATTTTGAGTGCCTTGCGACCTGGGAGGCTCATCTTCTGGCACTGTATCAGACAATGTTTCAGGGCTATTCATAAAATTTTCCAGTAACATATCAGATAGTGTTTCACTACTATTCATAAGGTTTTTCACTAGCCAATTCTTTGAGAAGTGGATGGCCTCTTCCTTCTTCCAAGTCTGTCTCAGTCTGGAAGCTCCACCAAAACCAGTCCACCATGGGCATCCCTGCTGGCACAGCCTCCAGCCTCACGGCAACACGCAAACCTCCACAGTATGACAAACTGACATACAAGTTCATCTCCCTTAGCTGTTCCAACTGCTCTACTCGATTTCTGGACTTCCACCTACCTGTTCCTGCCAGCCCTGTCTGCCACTGCTCCCTGCCACCTAGGGGTTATTACCCACCCTCCTTACGTGTTCCGGCTGCCTCTGATGCCACATCCTGAAATGGCTGAGTATTGACCAATTCTTTTTGGTCCTGTGACTCTATGTATTTCTTCCACCTTCTTCTGAGGCCTCCTGTGTCCCAAATATCTTGCCCACAGAATCCTTCAATGTTGCAACTTGAGGTTGACTTTTTTCGTCAGTTCTTTCAGTTTGAGACATGCCCCATGTGGACTTCCTTTTTGGTTTGTACATTTCATATAACGAGCTGCCTTTTGAAATTTTCTGTTCAGGTCTTTTATTTCATCATTTTTTCATTTGCTTTTAGCAACTCTAAGTTCAAGAACAAGTTCCAGAGTCCCTTCTGACAGTCATTTTCCTTCTTTACTATCTTTTTAATGATCTTTTGCTTTCTTCATGTATGATGTCATTGAAGTCATCCTGAAACTCATCTGCTCTTCAGTCATTAGCGTTCAAGGCATTATAGCTATTCTTGAGATGGTCTCTAAATTTAGCACCCAGTACAAAGGCTGCTGGAATCCACTGAGTCACAGTGATGATGTTCATTACATATGATAGAGAACAAAGGAGATCATCACAAAATAAGGGTTGGTGGCAGGTCAATTCATCACTGTTGCAGGTGGGACTATAGAAGGGGGGAAAGGACCATCCATGATTGGAATACATATATAACTGCAGGTTAAAAAAGGTTATAGAACTGGCTACTTTTGATAAATCATTTAAGGATACCCTCAGGTAAATTCTTTGTGAAGAAGGACATGCCAGGTAAGTTCCCTGGTTCTATGTGCATACTAATTAATGTACTTTCAACCATATTCTTTCTGAGGGCAAAGTGCTTTTCCTTGGACTCACCTGGGCTTGTCTAAACTTAGCCACATTGCTGGTTTAATGGCCAGCAGGCATTGTGAAAGTAATGTAAAGAACTCAAATGGCACCTAAACTTAGGTCAAGACTCAGAATGGAGTCAGGGCTCCCACTGTGGACTGCAGCCTTCCACAAACCAAGTGCTTTAAAATTTAAGCTCTAATACCTGGGTGACCTTCCTGGTATGTGAAACCACAACTTGTGGTAAGTGCCACAACTTCCAGCATTACAGCAACGCACAAGCCCCCATAGTACGACAAACTGACAGATGAGTGGTAGCCAGAGGTCACAACTTGGAGTCAAACCAAGTCACTCCCCCCATACCAACAATGTTGTTGTTGTTGTTGTTGTTTGCCGTGGAGTCGACCCCGACTCATAGCGACCCCTCCTTGGGTTTCC